ATCCTGCTCTGCGTGGCCCTGCTTGGGCAGGGGGTTGGGCTGGGTGACCCACAGAGGTCCCTTCCAACCCCGACCATTCTGGGTTTCTGTGATTCTGAGTTTAAACCCTCCCATTTTCACCATCTTTCAGGATACGAGAGGATGCGCAGTTGCAGCTGGTGCCCGTTGCGGGCAGACACGGAGGGCAGCGTGGGACCGTTCACACGGTGACGGACGTACCCACAGCAGCTTCGCCGCAGCGTCCTGGGCCAGCGCAGAGCTGCAGGAGCGAGGTCGGCTCGGAGGGAAGAACCCACGCTTCTACGGGGTTATGACACCTACTGCAGAAGCGGAAAAGAAAACGGGCTTGCACATTTTCCCTTGTTATGAACTGTATTAAAGCATCTTATTATTTTATTATAATAAATTAGGTATTATTAAATTAGATATTATTAAATTAGATATTATTTTCTCTTTATTATTTATTTAGACTGCTTTTTTTCTAATCTAGGAAATATCCGAGCTGTTGGGCCCAGCTGTGCTGCACCCCTATCTGTTGGGATTCGGATACGTGACCCTGGAGCTCACGTTGCTCCTGTTTGAAGGCACCATCTGCAGGGGTTCAACAAGAGAACTTTGCTTCTAAATATTTGCTTTGGCATTTCTCCTGCACATATCTTAAGAGGCAGCTTCAGAATACCTGAACGAAAACAATTTGCTGGTGAAAGCTGTCTCCTTTTCTGCTGTAGTGGTCTGCTCTACCTTCCGTGCTTATCTGCCTTACTCATACTCGGGATCTAGAAAACTGCAGAACTCTACAAAATCAGGAAGTTCCTCTGTAAAAACAGGTTATTTAAAAGCAAACCCCAGGGTTTTTCCTCTTGTCTGTGTAAGTGGTGGCAAAAATACACGCAGTCAGCATTATTTCCCCATGGCATGTCACCAGCAAGCCTACACCTCCTGGTTACTGCGAATCTGTATGAACTTGTGGCGAGTTTTCAGAAGCCTGGACTTGTCCTCGACCTCTGCGCGCACAGCTTGGCCTGGGGACCTGCTGCTGTACAAACATCCCATCCTTCATCGCCCCGACTCCCAGCCACGCCTGGGCTCGGCTCAGCGCAGCCCAGAAGCAGGAGGACAGAGGTGACACCAAAGTCATGGCCACACCAACGCCTTGACGGCACTGCTGGCCAAGCAGCCGCTGTCCCAGCCACTTCTTCTGGTGCAGAAACATTTGCTTTGTCCATGGGGACCTGGATAAGGGGGGTGCAGAAGGGCAGGCGAGCAGCTGAGGTCCAGGGAAAGTGCCTGCCTGCGGCTTTTAGCATCAGCACTCACATCTGCTGGCCTAAGCTCGGTGGACCGGTGGCATGGGAGGGACAGCCCTGCGGCACTCGTGGCTTAGGGGATGAGCCAAGCCCTGGCACAGTTCATCTGGGGAGGAACAAGCCCATGCACCAGTACAGGCTGGGGCTGACCTGCTGGAGAGCAGCTCTGCGGAGAGGGACCTGGGTGTCCTGGTGGACGACAAGGTGACCATGAGCCAGCAGCGTGCCCTGGGTGCCAAGAAGGCCAATGGGATCCCCGGGTGCATTCAGAGGAGTGTGGCCAGCAGGTCAAGGGAGGTTCTCCTTCCCCTCTACTCTGCCCTGGTGAGGCCCCATCTGCAGTGCTGTGTCCAGTTCTGGGCTCCCCAGTTCAAGAAAGATGAGGAGCTACTGGAGAGAGTCCAGCGG